GCCTTCCCCAGCCGACCCAATCCAGCGCGCACGCGCCGCGACCTGACCCGGAAGAAGCTGCCTTCAGAGCCCACGTGTTCCTGGAGCATGGTGGAGATGGAGGGTCGGAAAGCTGAAGCTATGTCTCCAGGGGAGGCGACGAAGAGCGGCGCTCGGCCCGCCGACCCGCACGGCCTGCTGAAGCACAGCCGCGAGTTCTTGGACTTTTTCTGGGACATTGCGAAGCCGCAGCAGGAGACGCGGCTGGAGGCCACGGAGAAGCTGCTGGAGTATCTGCGCAGCAGACCAGAGGTATGATGGCGGGGCCTGGGGCAGGGGACTGCATAGATCTCAGCAAAGTCGTGGCGGCGGGACACAGGAATTGGGGACTGGGGGGCACGTGGGCGCGAACCTGGATGCCCGGGTGAGCGCGGGCCGAGGGGCCCGGGGTGGGCCGGCGCCGTGCGCTTCTTGTCACCGGTCAACCCGGGAATGCGCTTGGTTCCGCAGGGGTCCGAGATGAAGTACGCCCTGAAGCGCCTGATCGCTGGGCTCGGAATGGGGCGAGAAACCGCCCGGCCCTGCTACAGTCTGGCCTTGGCCCAGGTGAGATGGTGACTCCTGGCAGGGGACCTGTCATGCCTGTGAACACGGTGGGGAGTGAGGAGGGCAGGTGTCTCAGTTGCAGGGGAGGAGTCAGTGGTCTTCAGAGGCAAAAGTTGGAGGCGGGGAGCGCGGGGTGACATCTGAGCTGATGGGAGGCTTCCCCACGTGGAGGTGGAGAAAGTCTATGAGCCAGGCCTGTCTACCGAGAAGCCCCAGCAGGTGGAGTGGGAGGTTGAGCAGTTTTCTTTTTGGAACTTGTATTGACCAGTCTCTGAGGTACATTTTACTGGGGGTAGTAAGCTTTGGAGTGGCTTCACTTACCTCTGCAATGTTCAGGACTCGCTACCCCTAGGGCCTCTCCGCCCATTATAGGCCACCTCTGAGGAACTTGGACAGCTGGAAGCGCGATAAAGATCGGTCCTTTAGGATCAGCCTCAGAGCAGGCTGTGGGGATAGAGTGTCTGGGACTCTAGGGGCCAAAAGAAGTACTTGGTACTTGCTGCAACCTAGGTAGGTGTGGGGCAGGTAGGCAAGATTCAGCTCCACTTCTGCAGCAGATTCCATTATTAGTGCTGCTCAAAGGGGAGTGAACAGTTTCAGAGGCATCCTTGAGGCCCAAGCAGGGGTATAAGGCCTCTGAGCAGAAACTGAACGGAGAAGTGGGAGGATGTTGAGGTCTGTTGGGGTGTGGCTAGGCTACTCCCCCTGAGCCCCTCTCTCCCTCCTGCCACAACTCCTGGCAGCTGTTACAGTCCTTCGAAGACATCCCTTTGTGCAGCATCCTGCAGCAGATACAAGAGAAGCATGACCTGCAGAAAGTTAAGAAGGTGAGAGTTAGTGTCCCCGGGAGGTCAGCAGCCCTGGGGTGGGGATACTTGGGTCCTTCTCACCGGTGCCTGGAATCCTTTTCTAGGCAATGATGAGACCGGCTCTTTTTGCAAACCTTTTTGGGGTGCTAGCCCTCTTTCAGTCCGGCAGGCTGGTGAAGGTAAGAGCTTTCGGGAAACGGGATATGTGGACTGGCTTGGGAGGGATGGGAGACAGTGGCATGTCCTGCTCATACCCTCTAATCCTTTGTGGGCACCAGGACTCAGAGGCACTGATGAAGTCCGTGAAGCTACTGCAGGTCCTGGCCCAGCACCACAACCACTTGCAGGAGCAGCCCCAGAAGGCCCTGGTGGACATCCTCTCTGAGGTACAGGCTTTCAGGTTGTGTGCTACTCGTAGAAACATGGAGAAGACATGAGTTAACATTAACTCATGGAAATGCTCTAGAGCAGCACCATTCCATGGAAATACAAGTGTGTAACTGACACTTTTTGTAGCTATATTAAAAAGGTGAAAAAGAAACAAATATAGTTTAGTAACATAATTAACCTAGTGCACCTATTAGGTTACTTAAATAATAATTTAAAGTGTTATTTCAACAGGCAATCAATATAAGAAGTTGTAGAAATATTTTACATTCTTTTTGTCGTGTTAGGTTTTTGAAAGCTGATATGTATTTCACACTTAGAGCAAGTCTCCGTTCAGATTAGCATATCCCAGGTGCTCAGTAGCCACTTGAGGCCAGTGGCTGCCGTGTTGGAGAGTGTAGCTCTAGAACAGCGCCTGGCATGTTGCAAGTATATTAAATGTTTGCCATTGGTTTGGGCAGAACTAACCCCTCATGACCTTCCCCCTCCCTCCACTGCTCTACTTGGGAAATGGAGGTATAATTAATACCTGGAACCTTTTGCTACTGGGGAAAAGTCAGGGACAGCAAAGTCCTAGACCCCAGCTTTGTGCACAGCTCTGGCCGCAGAGCCAGAAGGACCTGAATTTGAACCCCAGGTCTCCACTTGGGGCTCATTATATAAGAAATGGGCTAGTCCTGAAAAACCCAAAAGAGGAGTAATTTAAATGGTGACTCCCAGCCAATTTGCATCAGTGGTATACTTATTAAAAACCCAGCTTCCTGAGACTTGGAAATTGGAGCTTTTTAACAAATGCCCTCCAATGGTTCTGATCCCTAGCAAGGTGGGTTGTGGCTGTCCCACCTCTGATTGGCACTGTACCAGGGGCCTCAAGGGAGCCCATAGGGCTCACTTCACAGGGGAAGAGACAAAGGATGCTGTGAGGGGGCCACCCTCCTTCAACCTCTCCCCCCACCCCAGGTTCCGGAGGCCATGTGGCAGGAGGTCTTGCCAAAGGTTCTCAAGGCCGACTTGAATTCAGTGCTTGGCTCCCCTGAGCACCTGGAGCTCTTCCTCTTGGCCCAGCAGAAGGTGCCCGCAAAGCTTGAGAAGCTCATGGGATCGGTCAACCTATTCTCAGATGAGAATATCCCCAGGTGTGAGGGAGTGGGTGGGTGGGTTCGTGGGGCCAAGGTGCTGCACCTGGCCTTTCACAGATTTGCGGTATGGCCTGGGGGTGTCCCTGCTTCCCTGGGCCCTTGTCTGTTCGATGGATGCCACCTGAGTCCCCTCTGCCCTCCACAGACTTGTGACTGTGCTGAAGATGGCCGCCACCTCTGTGAAGAAGGAACGCAAACTGCCTGCTGTGGCTCTGGACCTGCTCCGCCTAGCACTTCAGGAAAACAAATTTCCGAAGTTCTGGAATGAAGTTGTGGAACAAGGGCTACTGAAGAAGCAGTTCTGGCCTGCCAGGTGGCTGTGGAGCTTGTCCCATCTTGACCCCCCCCCCTTCCTGTTTGTTAGGTGGAGATGGGTTGGTGGTCCCAGAGTCCACCCAGGGGAGCTGAGGGCTCTAACCAGGCTCTTTCATGCACCGCCTTAGCTACCTGTGCTTCCGCCTGCTGGGTGCATCCTTGCCCCTGCTGTCTAAGAAGCAGCTGCAGCTGGTGATGCGAGGAGACCTGATCCGACATTACGGGGAGCACATGGTCACTGCTAAGGTGGGTGCCGCGCCCTGCAGCCCAGTACTATCAGAAACAGCCAGGCTTCCTGCCAGGAAGGGGGGTAGGCCCCCTTGGGATCAGTCAGCTTCTGGAATACAAGGCTGCTCTTTGTTCCAGCATCAGGGGTCTTCCTGCCTCTGGTCCTGCCTGGTATGGGCAAGCACAGCTGCTGTTGGAAGGAGCCTAGGACCTGGGTATCCCTTCCTTCTGGGTAAAGTGAGCTACCTGAGTCACTCCACCTCTTCCCCTCTGAGCAGAATTTTGGCAAGGTTGGCCCTTCTGCCATCAGGCCCCTCAGCAGAGGCATCACAGCCAGCAGTCTGTCCAGACCTCCATCCACCCCGCTGTTGTTCCGAACACTGTCCGTGCATCCCACACTGAGCTGAGCACTCCACAGGAGACTCAAGTGGTGGTTAAGAGTGTGGAATGAGGGACCAGGCCACCGGGCCCCAGGCTATGAGACCCTGCATGGGTTTCTTCCCTGCCCCAAGCCTGCCTCTCCTTGTCTCTGAGACAAGAAGAGAGGTGCTTCCTCAGAGTTGTTGTGAAGATGGCCAGTTAATACTTCACAGGCCCTTTAAAGCAGGAAGCAGCTGGGCTTGCTCCTCTCACCAACTCAGTTCAACTTCACAAGCAGCTTCAGAGAGCTATGCTCCTATTAGAATCCTGGGGGAGGGACAGGTCAGGAAGTAGAGAGCAGTAAAGAGCACAGGCCTGCCCCACATCCTAGTTGTACCACTTGGAGCTGTCTGAAATCACTTCTAAACCTTTTTGTGCCTAATTTTCTTCATCTGTAAAATGACAAAGAGACCCACTGCAAAGGGTTGTTACAAAGATTAGACAAACTTACACATCTCATGGGGCTTGGTATGTGGTAAGCATGGGAGAGGGGTTGGCTTTTAAGCCCCACTGTGACACAGCTAGGAGCTGACAGAAGTGGCATTTGAACCCAGGTCAATGTGATGGCCCAGTCTGGACTCTGAGCCACTGTTCTGCCCTGCCTTGAGCCCAGAAAACAGCTTGTCTTGATCCATTGAGGGGAGGGAAGGAGGGGCCTTCTGGGGCCAGAGTTGTGGAGGCTAGAGCAGTCAGACAGGCAGGCTTTGATGGCAGGCAGAAGCACTGGGGTGACAGAGCAACTCAGCCTGGCTGTACAAGGGAGGGGCCTTGTTGGGCCTCAGTGTACCCTGTGTGGCAGAGGTTGGCAGGGCCGTTGGTCAATGCAGTGCCTGACTCTTGCAGTTCCCGAGCCAGTTCAAGTTTGCTCCAGAGATGAACGAGTATGTTGGAACCTTCCTGGAAGGCTGCCGGGATGACCCCGAGAAGCAGTTGGCTGTGGTGGTGGCCTTCACTTCCATCACCAACCAGGGCCTCCCTGTTGTACCTACCTTCTGGCGGGTCGTGCGGTTCCTGAGTGCCCCCGCTCTCAAGGGCTATGTGACCTGGCTGCGGGACATGTTTCTCCAGCCTGACCTGGACTCCTTGGTGGACTTCAGCACTAGCAATCAGAAGAAAGCCCAGGATGCTTCGATCCACGGGTGAATGGGCCTGGCAGGGGCCCAGGGCTCAGGAGTGGGCTTCCTGGGGTTCCATGGAAGGGGAGGAGGGGAGAGAAGGCGTTAGTTTCCTCACATGTGTTCCCATGCTGGTGGTAAGGGGGCAGAGGTCTTGTGTTCCTGTCTCCAGAATGCAGGAAAGGAGTACCATTTTTACCATCTCTGAATGGCTCCCCTGACCTGGCTTCTGCCCCCAGGCCTGAGCGAGCTGTGTTCCGGCTGCGGAAGTGGATCATCCTCCGCCTGGTCAGCATCGTGGACAGCTTGCACTTGGAGAAGGAGGAGGCCTTGATCGAGGAGGTGGCCAGGTGAGAGATGTGCCCAAACCCCAATTCCCCATGGATGGAGCAGCCAGGGAATTGGGCCTCCTGCTTTGTCCTAGTTTGGGTCCCCCTGAAGCCAAAAGCGTTGGGGCCAGTTTGTCCATGGGGAGCAGGCTAGCCATTCCTCTCCCTTAGGCAGAATTTAGGAGAAATTCCTTGGGAGCCTGTGAAAGGAAGGGACCCAGGAAGTGTGAGGCTGCAGGGGCCTCACAGGCTCAGGCTGGCTCCGCATGTTCCACAGGCAGCCTCTAAGCATCGACAGTGTCAGGGAGTCTCACCACGGCCTCACTGGGTGCTCATTCAGCCCTCACTGTAGTCCCAAGGGGAACAGCCCATGTTCGCAGAAACACTGGTGTGACTTGGTTGAGGATCCGAGTCTGTCTAGGTTCCGAGGGCGAGATGCAGGATCCATATCTGAGAAATGTTCCACTCCCTCTCGTCTCCAGAGTGGCTCCCTCCTCTTCCTCCAGCCCTTCGCTGATGCCATCTAAGGAGGGGCTGGTAAAAATGGGTGGCACTAACTGAGGCAACATGGCTTGATCTCCCACCTTCCCCAGGTTTTGCTTCTTTCACTCATTCTTTGAAACGAAGAAGCCCACATCCCAGATCCCGGAAACTGAGCAGCGGTTCTCCTTCCCTGTGGAGGGCCGGGCCCGAGAGGTGGTCAGCAGTGCCTTCTTCAGGTGAAGAAGCTTGGGAGACGCTAAGGGTGGGCTAGCAGGGTTGGAAGGTGGCCTCGAGGGCACTTGCTCTCTCCAGTTATAAACTGGGAGAAGCTCTAGAGACCCAGTGAGTTCCAGTGGGTCAGAGTGTGGGGTTGGTGGCCACGTTTACTAACCCAACCCGTAACCCTCATCCCACCCACCCTCAGCCTGCTGCAGACCCTCAGCACACAATTTAGGCAGGCCTCAGAGCAGAACCAGGACAAGCAGCCCTGGACCTACCGCCTGGTACAGTTTGCAGACATGCTGTTGAACCACAGCCGCAATGTGACCCCCCTGACACCCTTCACTACGCAGCAGCGCCAGGCCTGGAACCGGTGAGGGGTGGGATTTCCAGGGGATGGGTGGGACACAGGTCTGACACTGGCAGCAGTGGCCTGAGAGCATGCCTGTCTCCCACCAGGATGCTACAGACTCTGGAGGAACTAGAGGCTCGCTCCTCAGAGGCCAAGGCGAAGGCCACTGCCTTTCAGCACCTGCTACTCCTGGTGGGCATCCACCTCTTCAAGGTACGGCAGCCTGGAAAGGACGGGGTTATGGACCTGGGATCTGTGGCCCTGCAGGCTTCCTCCTGAGAGGCTTGGGGACTTTGCCAGGAAAGACTCTGGAGAGTTGAACTTCAAGGTTTCCTGGGTCAGCTGGTCCTGGTGGAGCTTAGTGCCCACAACTGGCCGAACTTTCATTTCTCCAGAGGTTTTCCTCTTGCATCATATGCAGTTCTTATGGGGCTGTTTTGCATCTTTTTTTTTTTTTTTTTTTAATAGTTTTTTATTTTACAGTTGACATACAATGTTAGTTTCAGGTGTACAACATAGTGATTAGAGATATAAGTTACAAAGTGATCGCCCTAGTAGGTCTAGAATCCATCTCACACCATACATAGTTATTACAATATTATTGACTATATCACTAATGCTGTACTTTACATCCCCGTGACTGTTTTGATAACTGGCAATTTGTACTTCTCAGTCCCTTCCCCTTTTTCACCCATCCGCCCAATCACTCTCCCATGTGATAATCATCAGAATGTTATCTGTAGCCCTAGCTGATTTGGCTCAGTGGTTTGAGTCTTGGTCCAGGGACTGAAGGGTCCTAGATTTGGTTCTGGCCAAGGGCACGTGCCTCAGTTGCAGGCTTGATCCCCCACCCTGGTCGTAGGAGACAACCAGTCGATGTGTCTCACATCGATGTTTCACTCTCTCCTGCTCTCTGAAAAGCAATGGAAAAAATATCCTCAAGTGAGGATTAAAGAAAAAATCTCTGTACCTATGAGTTTGTTTCTGTTTTGTTTTCATTTTTTTAGATTCTGCATATAAGTGAAGTCATGTTATTTGTCTTTCTCTGTCTGACTTATTTCGCTCAGCATAATACCTTCTAGATTCAGTTATGTTACTGCACATGGCAAGATTTCATTCTTCTTTATGGCTGAGTCATATTCCATTGTATGTATGTACCATCTCTTCTTTATTCGTTCATCTGTTGATAAGCACTTAGGTTGCTTCCATATCTTGGCTACTGTAAATAATGCAGCAGTGAACATATGGATGTGTATATCTTTTCACATTAGTGTTTTGGAGATCTTCAGATAAATACCCAGAAATGGAATTGCTGGGTCTTTCTTTGTCTCTTGTAGCCTTTGTTCTAAAGTCTATTTTGTCTGATATAAATATTGCTACCCCAGCTTTTTGTTTGTTTGTTTCCATTTTCATGAAATGTTCTTTTTTATCTTTTTACTTTCAGTCTATGTGTGTCTTCGATCTGAAGTGAGTCTCTTGTAGATAGCATATGTAAGGGTCATATTTCTTTATTCAGCCAATCTGTGTCTTTTGATTGGAGCATTTAATCAATTTACATTTAAAGTAATTGTTAGGTAATGTTACTGCCATTTTATTCATTTTTAAAAATCTTCTTCTAATTAAAGAAGTCTCTTTCACATTTCTCGTAATACTGATTTGGTGATGATGAACTCCTTTAGCTTTTCCTTGTCTGGGAAGCTCTTTATCTGTCCTTCAGTTCTAAATGGTAGCTTTGCTGGGTAGGGTAATTAGTTGCAGATTCTTGCTTTTCATCACTTTAAGTATTTATTGCCACTCCCTTCTGGCCTGCAAAGTTTCTGTGAGAAATCAGCTGAGTCTTATGGGAGCTCCCTTGTAGGTAACTAACTGCTTTTCTCTTGCCACTTTTAAGGGTTACCTGGTGTGACCTACAAAGTGATCTGCAGATGGTTGCCACTTTTGTTGGGCTTGGAGGTGCCTGGGAGAGGCTAAGCTGTGAACTGAGGCCAGATGCTGCTAGTGCGTTGCTTGGAGCCTCTTAGCAAGAGGTTTGGGGCACACTGAGGCCAGATGCTGCTTGTTTTAGGGTTTGTGAACCTTTGTGAGCTTTTAGGAAAGTCCATATCATGAGCCAAGATAGTCTGTTAGCATGGAAAAGTCACTGGGAGCAACTTGAGTGGGCCTGAAAGNCCTCTTAGCAAGAGGTTTGGGGCACACTGAGGCCAGATGCTGCTTGTTTTAGGGTTTGTGAACCTTTGTGAGCTTTTAGGAAAGTCCATATCATGAGCCAAGATAGTCTGTTAGCATGGAAAAGTCACTGGGAGCAACTTGGGTGGAGCTGGATCTTAGGGAATCACCAGGGCTGGCCAAACAGCCAGGTTGACGGAGACTCAGATATGGTGCCCACCTGCCAGCTCTGTAAGAGGAAGGGCTCAGCAAGGGAACAATGGCTTCTGCCAGCACTTCTGTCTGGGAGAAAGCTTTCCTTCCAACCCTCACCCCAGACAATTCAGTTCCTCCCTATATATCTCTGGCACTTTTCGAGTTGCTATCCTAGCACTGGAGTTCAGAGCCAGTGGGTGAGTCCAAGTAAGTCCGTGCGTGGGCCCTTTAAGAGGAACACCTGCTTGGGACTCCAGCAGCTCTCTGTCTCACTCAGCCACAGTCTCCACTGGTTTTCATAGCCAGCAGTTATGGGGACTTCTCTTCCCACCCCTGGAACCCTGGGCTGAGGAGCCCATTGTAATGCTGGGACCCCTCCTCCGCAGCAGAGATATATCCCTCCTGATTTTTAACCACCAACATGGGTGTAGGACCAGCTTGTTCGGTATCTGTCCCCTCCTACCAGTCTGGCTTCTTCTGTATATCCTTAGTTATAAGACTTCTGTTCAGCTAGACTTCGGGCTGTTCTCAGTGGTGGTGGCTCTGTAGTTTAGTTGTGATTTTGATGTCGCCGTGGAGGAGGCGAACACAGCATTTACCTGCTCCTCCATCCCAGCCGGAAGTCTGCTTCAAGTCTTAAGTAGGCTGAGGAGGCAGGTTCTCAGTTGCTCACTTCTGGTCTCTTGGCTGTGGGTTTTGCTTCTGGGCCCTGCCCATAGACAAGTTGTGTGGATAAAGGTTGGCCACGATGCCCCTTCCCTCCTTGGCATTGGGCATCAGGGCCCTGGTGATTGGGGACATTTTTTTGTTTCTATGTTTGGTTTTTGTTTTTTTAAATCCTCACCCAAGGATATTTTTCCCATTGCTTTTCAGAGGGAGTAGGAGAGGGAGAGAGAGAGAGAAACCTCAACATGGAGAGGAGGGAGGGAGAGAGAGAGAAACATCTATTGGTTACCTCCCACTTGCGCCTGGCCCAGGGCCAGGGATTGAGCCCACAACCGAGGTATGCACCCTTGGCTGGAATCAAACCTGGGACGCTTCAGTCTGTGGGCTGATGGTCTAACCACTGAGCCAAACCCCCTAGGGCTGGGGACATGTTTTGTGCCCACCCCAGACCCTGGGATCTCTGAGCTTGACCTGGACCAGGTATGTCGAACCCCTGGATGAAAAGGTGCCTGGCCACAGCCCTGGCTGGTTGGCTCAGTTAAATGGAGCATCATCCTATTCACCAAAATGTTGCAGTTCAGTCCCAGGTCAGGGCACATACCTAGGTTGCAGGTTTGATCCCCAGTCAGGGTACATGTGGGAGGCAACAGATTGATGTTTCTCTCTCTCCTCCTCCTCTAAAATCAATAAAAACATATCCTTGGGTGAGGGTTTTTAAAAAAAGCCCTGGCTGGTTAGAGCATTTGCCCATTGACTAAAGGGTCATGGGTTTGATTCTGGCCAAGGGCATGCACCTCGTTTGCAGGCTCGATCCCAGAGGCCCTGGTCTGGGTCGGGGCATGTGAGGGAGTCAACCAATCAGTGTCTCTCTCTCACATCGATGTTTCTCTCTCTCTTTCTCCCTCCCTCCCTTCTACTTTCTCTAAAAAAGTCAATGGAAAAAATACCCTTGAATGAGGATTTTTTTAAAAAAAGGTGCATGCACAGTCAGGGACCTGGAGACAAAGATGGCCAGAGCTCTGGGCTTCTATTCTGCACTATTCTACCACCCCTGGCCCAAACGTTGAAACCTTCCACTGCATTATGAGGGAGAAGTCTGCCTTTTCAGTACCATGGGTCACACAGGCTGTTTTTAGAGGCCCCCGAGGGTGGACAAGAAGGGTGGGTGGCTGGAGTCTGGGCTTATCCCCAACAAGATCGGTTTAAATCATCTTAAATTAAATTAGTTAAAATTAGTGATTTTCATTTTTTTTCTATGTAATAATGTTGAGCCAGGTATAGGAGGAAAAATTGTGGGTCATGAGGCTGGGCCTGCTGGCTTCCTGTGACTCTGACCCAGCATTCTTGTCAGGCTCCGCCCCTCTAGGCATCATGGGGAAGCTGGGCTCCATCTCCCTGAGGGCTCCCAGATCCTGTGAGTGCATGTTAGGTGTAAAAGGTCATCACCTCCAGGGCTGCCCCTGGGGTCCAGCTGGTGTCCATTCTGGGTGGTGAGGGTGACTGACCAAGCCAGGCTGGGGTGTTTTCAGTCTCTGATGATGGCAGTAGCTCCCACTTGACTCTCCCCTCCCCTGGCTCAGCAGAGGCCGGGAATGGGGCTTGGCTCCTGATTTCTGCCCCTCCCACAGTCCCCCACAGAGAGCTGTGACCTCCTAGGTGACATCCAGACCTGCATGAAGAAGAGCCTAGGGGAGAAGACCCGCCGGACCCGCTCCAAGGCCACCAGTGTGTCATTGCCCCTGGGGTGGGAGTGGCAGGGCACATCCTGGGCACAACAGGGATCTGGGATGGGGCAGCAGTGCCCTGCCCAGACTCAGACCTCTCCCCGCTTGCAGACCCCCAGGAGCCACCATGGGTGGAGGTGCTGGTGGAGATCCTCCTGGCGCTCCTGGCCCAGCCCAGCCATCTGATACGCCAGGTGGCCCGGAGTGTGTTCAGCCACATCTGCTCCCACCTTACTCCACGTGCCCTGCAGCTAATCCTGGATGTAAGTTGGGGCCTTTGGGGAAATGAGTCCTGGGATGTGGCTGTCCAAGCACCAGGTTGCACCAGGGCTGCCATATCAGCCCCTCGTCCTGGCTGCAACCTGCAGAGTGGGTGGGGGCCTCACTCGGCTGCTGTGCAACCCTGTCCAGGGGGCGCTGAGTGGTCGTCATGTATCAAGGAGGTGCTGGCACTGGGTTTTGGGGGGTGTAGCCTTACTTCCTAGGCTTCGTTTTCCCCCTTTGACCTTTTGGCCAGGACTGGACTGGGCAAGGCCAGGGAAGTGGGGGGCCAGCGGTCTGAGGAGGGCAGAGAGTCAGCCGCTGGGATACCCCGCAGGTGCTGAACCCGGAGCAGAGCCCAGACGAGGACGACAGCGTGGTGATCACAGACGACTCCGAGAGGCAGCCGGAGGGTGAGGAGGTGCGTGTTGGCGGGGGGCGCGGGGCCAGGCACGTGTGCGATGGCAGGTGCTACCCTCTGGCCACCCACAGGACAAGAGCTCAGAGAGCGAGGGCAAGAACTCAGAGAGCGAGGAGAGCAGTGGGGAGGAGAGCGACGAGGAGGATCGCGATGGGGACGTCGACCCCGGCTTCCGGCAGCAGCTGATGGCCGTGCTGCAGGCAGGGCAGGCGCTGGTGAGCAGAACTCCGGGGCGCCTGTCCCTCCGTGCGTGTGCCCGCGGGCCAGGCTGCTCACTGGCGTCTGTCCCTCAGGGCGGTGTGGACGACGAGGATGATGAGGAGCTGGGGGACGAGGCCATGATGGCCCTGGACCAGAACCTCGCCAGCCTCTTTGCTGAGCAGAAGCTGCGCATCCAGGCCCGGAGGGACGAGAAGAACAAGCTACAGAAGGAGAAGGTCCTCCGGCGGGACTTCCAGATCAGGGTGAGCCCGACGACCAGCCTGCGTGCCCGTGTCCCTGGCCCAGTCGCCCTGCTCGTCCCCTTCCTCTAATCCCTCCACACCTGACAGCCTACCCATCCTGCCACAGGTCCTGGACCTGATTGAGGTGCTGGTGACCAAGCAGCCCGAGAACCCCCTGGTCCTGGAGCTGCTCGAGCCGCTGCTGAAGATCATCCGCTGCAGCATGCGCACCAGCAGCACCAAGCAGGAGCAGGATCTCCTGCACAAGACGGCCCGCATCTTCACGTGAGCGCCGGTGGGCGGGGCCCCGACAGGCCACAAAACCTGAAACCCCCAGAACAGTGCCGGGCCTTTGGGGTTTCCCAAGTAGAAAGGTCGGAGCCAAGTTTCCGGAGTGGGCCTGCTTGGCTCTCGAGGTTCACTGCTCTGACCCGGGGCACATGTCGCTCAGCAACTCACACACAGGCCTGGTTCTTCCATCCATTCTCCAACACTAGCAGCAGCTCAGCATAGACCAGTATCCTCAGGAGACCCCAGTCCCAGCCCTGCTCTCAGGGTCATTGCAGCTGGGAAACCAGACTGGTCATCTGGCAATGACGTCCTGGGACTGGGGGGGGCAGGTAGTGGGTAAGAGACTGGGAGCACAAAGTGGTGTGGGGCACTAACCCACTAGCCCAGTCTTGAGGTACCAGGGAAGGCCTGCTGGGAGAGTTGTCAGCAATGCTGGGAGCTACAGAGTTCATCAGGACTGGGGGCCACAGGGAGGGCAAAAGGATCCAGAAGAGAGCATCAGATACAACTGAAACGTAAGAGTCCTTGTGGACTCGCCCCCAGCAGTTCGGGAGCCACAGAGGTGTTTTCACCAAGAGCACAGGCGGGAGTGGGGGCTGGCTTGCCTTGTAAGAAATGGGTGGCAGCATGGGCTGCACTTGAGCAGGGAGATCAGCCAGGGGGTGGAGCAGGTGGCAGATTCAGACCTGCCTTCGGAACACAAGGGTACTGGGGAGACGAAGGCCTAGGGATTTGAGGTGCCAAGTGCACAGACTAGAGCAGTAGGGAGAGTGTGATGGATGGTGCACCCCCAACTCATCTCACGCCAGCTTCCAGCTCCACTTTCTCCGCTAGTTCTCCTGCTGCCTGCTTGGGCACTGTTGGGCTTGTTGAGTGTCCTGCCTCTGGTCCCTACTGTGTTCCCAGCCCTGCAGGGGCCACACAGGGTTCTGAGCACACAGACCCTGGTCTTGCTTTACGAAGGCATGAAAGCCACTGTCCCACAAGGGACAGGTGTAGACAGGAGGTGTGGACCAGGTCGGGGCTGGTCAGCCTGGGGTGCAGCCTTAGCTCAGGGAGCCGAGTTTCCCCTCCGGCTTGTCCTCAGAGCAAATCTGCAGGTGGTCCTGGTCCTCCCTCTGCAGCCTTAGTCAGATCCCTTTTCCTCTCTAGGTGTCTTTCCCTGCCTGTGAAATGGGACTCAGGGACCCTACTCTTGGGGTTGGCTCTGCTTGGCGGGAGCAGGGGTGGAAAGAGAATGTTGTAACCAGCTCTGCCCCTTACTGCCCCACAGACATCACCTGTGCCGTTCCCGGCATTACTGCCGTGACGTGGGCAACTGCATGGACACACTGTACACACAGGTGGAGCGGCTGGTGCAGCAGGCTGCTCACCAGGCCGACTCCTCTGTCGCCCTCTACTACTTCAACGCCTCCCTCTATCTCCTCCGGGTTTTGAAGGGCAACACTGCTGATAGGTCCATCTGCAAGACCCAAAAGAAGGCGAAAGCAGGCGCTAAACCCAGCACCAAGCCCAAGGGCGCAGAGGTGAGCAGGCCCTGGCCCAAGAAGGCTCAGCCTAGAAAGTCCAGTGCCAATAGATAGGAGCAGATCCCAGGCAGCAGGCCAGGACCATCTGTCCATTTCACAGATGGGGAGTTGAGGCCATGACTTCCCAGGGACCCAGCTTTCAGCCTCCTTAAGGCAGCCCAGGCTCCACTCCCATACCACGGATCCCTCTCCCTGGCATCACACCAGTTCTCTCTCAGGTGGCCCAGGCTACCAGCTGCTTGGATTTGAACCTTGTGACCCCGATCTACTCATCAGCACTGAGCTCCTTCCTGACCAAGCGCAACAGCCCCCTCACAGTTCCCATGTTCCTCAGCCTTTTCTCTCGGCACCCGGTGAGTATTTGGTCCGGCCCACCCCCTCGGGGTCCCTGCTCAACCCAGACCCGTCTCACAGCCCTGTCATTCACTCCCTAGATGCTCTGTAAGAGCCTGCTCCCCATTGTGGTCCAGCACGTGACAGGCCAAAGGCGGCCTCGCCATCAGGTAGGGGCCTGTCTGAATTACCCACTGGACTCATTTCTGGCTAGGTATTTGTGAGGCCCAGGAGGCTGCCCTGGTGAGAATAAGGGTGACGAGGCCCACTCCACCCTTTCCCCTCTGACCTGGCTAGCCTCTCATGTGCTGCAGGCACCGTGTAGCTGTGGGGGTGCGGACAGCTTTGCTTCTGCTTCTGCCACTTCCCAGGTGACCTGAGCCCTCTGACTCTATATCGCTCACACTCTGACCTGCACAGAGGAAGCCCCTGGCTATCTGCTCAGGTGCCTCACTGATGGGCAGGGCAAGGATGGAGACGGGGAGGCTGGAATAAGACAGTACTGAGTAGTAAGAGGGTCAGGAACTGTCTCCATCCAGAGCCCTTGCTCCTGCACCCCAGGCCTCTATTCCTCCACTTACCTGACAAGGGACAGGAGCAGATGATTACTGAGCCCAGAGCTCCTGCGGTGAACCCAGGAAGTTTGGACCCAGAGCAGCAGGCAGCCCCTCACGCAGCCTAGTGTTGTCTTGGTCTTAGCAGGTGCCCAGCAAGCTGCCAAGGCTCTTAGGGCCCCTATGGTTCCCTAAGCCTTGGCCCAGCATGCCGAGGCTCTTAGTGACCACGTTCCACCACCCCAGGCCCAGGCCTGCCTGCTGCTCCAGAAGGCCCTGCCCATTCGAGAGCTGAGACTGTGCTTTGAGGACCCCGAGTGGGAGCAGCTGATTGGTCAGATACTGGCAAAGGTCACTGAGGTAACAGCCATGGAGCTCCCCTTTCACACCCCCATCAGGAGTGGTTCTCTCAGACCCTAAACTTCGGGGTGGTTTTGGGGTTACCCCAGCAGACATTTCTTCCATTGGGGCTTTGGTCTCATGTGGGAAATGGCTTTGGAAAGCTCTCTAGACTGGCTCAGCCTGGCCGCCTTCTCCTTAGAACCTGCGGGCCCTGGGTGAAGCACAGACCAAGTCGGAGCACCTGAAGGAGCGGTCCTCCTTGGAGCTGCTCAACACTCTTTTCCGGATTATCAATCATGAGGTGAGATCAGGAGGGTGGTCACTGGGCAGGCAGAGGAGGTAGTCTCAGCACAGGCTTAGGGGCAGGCTGGGAGCCATGTGGGGAAGGTTCCGGCTGCCAGAGAAGGATTGGGCTCTTTTTGTTTGCGTGGTTAGAGAGCCGTGGACACAGGTGATTGACTTGGGAGGGGAGAGTGGCAATGCCTGTGCCAGGCCAGGCTTGGGGTAGGAGGCTGTGCTGTTGTTGTTTGTGCTCCAATAAGAAAGCTGAGAAGGGGCTGGAGGGCTGGGGACCACGGGAGGAGGTGAAGAGGTTCCTGGTGGGCAGGTGTTAGGAAGGAGCTGGGTTCCCAGGCCTGCAGAGGGGCAGGGGGCTTCAGAATGGGGGCCAGGTGGCAGCTGTGGGTGAGTGTCTGGGTCCCTCCATCTGACCCAGATGAAAGGTCTGGGAATTCCTGGCGTAGACACAGTCAAAGCCCATGTGCAGGGCAAGCTTGCTGAGAGGGTGCTGGAGGGAGGAGAGGGGCCTGGGCTAGAGTCTTGCAGAATAGCTGGCGGGCCTGAGAAGCAGTGCTAAGGGTGGTGGTAAAAAGCCAGGAGTGGAGGGTGCTGTGGAAGCCAGTGTTCAGTCTGTGGCAGGGAGGGTGAGATGGGAAGAGGGGCTTTGGCCACCCTGATGTCAGTGCATGTTGCCCTCAGAGGTGGGCAGGCCAGAGCCACGGAGGGGAGGATTGAGTGGGGGGTAAGGAAGTAGAGATGGGGCTTCTGGCTGCACGGAGAGGGAACAAACATGGCACCTGGGGCTTCTTTTCCTTCCTAAGGCAAGTGAAATGTGATTTACGGGCAGGAGGAGTGGCTGAGGTTGCAGAAGGGGGCATGGGGTTCCAGAAGAGGCAGTAATTGGGCATGGTGGGAGGACTGGGAACCAAGAGCTGGGAAGAGGCCCTGCTGCCCGCCTCCATTATGGCCACAGCTTTCCCACCCGCTGCAGAAGCTGACCGTGGACCTGACAGCTGTCCGGGCTGTGCTGCAGAGCCAACAGCAAAACCTGCAGCACAGGGTGCAGCAGGGGGAGCACTCGACTGGGTCCAGCCGCCTCTACGACCTGTATTGGCAGGCCATGAAGATCCTCGGAGTCCAGTAGGTTCTGGGAGGAAGGGCTGGGGAGACCCTCACGCTGCACACAGTCCAATATGCGTGCTCCAGTGTGGGAGCTTTGGGCAGCTTGGGTACCCTGGGACCACAGAGGTGGAAGACACTTCTGCTCTCGCTGGACACTTACTTTGCTCACTTCCTCCCAGGCGCCCAAAGTCAGAGAAGAAGGATGCCAAGGAAGTCCTCAGTGCCACGCAGAGCCCCGTTAGCATGAAACGGAAGAAAAAGGGATTCTTGCCAGAGACCAAGAAGCGCAAGAAACGCAAGTCAGAGGTGACCACGCAAGAGGATGCCCAGCCTGCAGCCACTGGTGGGGACCAGCCCCCCAGCACAGGCAAGAAGCGGAAAAGGAAGAGAGCTAAGGTCACAGCCCAGGCCCAGGTGAATGGGACGCCTCCTGCCAAGAGTCCTGCCACCAAAAGTCAGACCCCAGAACCCCCTGCCAAGACCCCGAAGTTGCAGAAGAAAAGTCAGAAGCTGTCGCAGATGAATGGGATGCCTGCTGCCAAGAGTCCTGCTACCAAGAGTCTGGCCTCAGAGCCCCCTGCCAAGACCCCAAAGCTACAGAAGAAAAGTCAGAAGCTGTCCCAGGTGAATGGAGTCACTCCTGTGTCCCCCACGGAGCCTGCTAGCGAAAAGCAGTATCAGAAGGAGCTGCCCCAAAAGGGGGTCTCAGGCAAGTTGCCACAGTCGGCGCTGCCGCAGAAAAAAGCAAGATTAAGATTGTCTCTGGCCAGCAGGAGCCCCAGCCTTCTGCAGAGCGGAGCCAAGAAAAAAAGAGCACAGCTGAGGAAGGCGAGAAAGCCCTGAGAGTAGGCCCTGTCCCCCAGCCCCTCCCCGTCAGCCCAAGAGACTCCTATTTTTGCACCAGGATTCTAATAAACAGGCCACTATGTGGGGTACTACCTTCTGGCACTGAGGGGAGAGGGTCTGCCACTAGCCTACCGGGAGGTCCTCCTGTAGCAAGTGCAACCTGGGCTGTGTGGCCCTGGCTGGGCCCTGCTCTGCTCTCTGGCTGTGCTGTTTCTCAGCTCAGAACACACTGGAATTGTGTGGGGCTGGGGCCTCGGCTCCTGGTGGTGTGGGCCGGGGCCCGGGCCAGGGCTCGTGCGCAGGCAGGTGAGCACAGGTGCGGTCACTCGTGGTGCCCTCCCCCGCAAGGCTACTTCACTGTAGGAGCCACCGGGGCATGATTTAAATAGGTTTATTTCTTCATTTACAAGAGGAATATATTTGGCTTCTCTCTTAAGACTCTGAGATTCACAATCAGCAGCTCTAAAAAATAAAGGAGCAGTTTGGCTTCCGGAAGGAAGAGGAGGCAACACTTGGACCTGGTTCTTGTACAACAAGAAAACATTGCTGGGGCCCCAGGTGAGGCCGGGTGGGAGGTGGAGGCCAAGCTGGTCTTTGGGGATCCCACCCCCTTGCTGGGCCCCTGGGGTACCCCAGAGCTTGGCGGGGAGTGGGTATTCCAGTAGCTTACACACCACTGAAGCCACACCAGCCAGTAACTGCAGGGCAGAGAGCATTGTCCGAGCTGACTCTTAGGGTCCCCTGCTGGCCACAAGGGGCCCCAGACCAGAACCACCTTGATTCCAGCAAATGTGCAGGGAGGGGGTGGAGCAGAGGGGACATGGTAAGCTGCACACTTCGACTACAGGCAGAGCTGCACCCTGTGTGTGGCTATGAGGATGGGATGGCGTATGCAGATGGAACTACAGGTGGTCAGAGGCTGGGGGCAGTGGTGGGATGTGTGAAAATGCACTTGCGCAACAGCAGCTGGCACTTGCGTGGAGGTGGTTCTGGGGTGTCAGCCTCCACCAGGCTATTCCCTGGGTCGGGAAGCTTAGCGGATGGCTGCTTCCTCTGGCTGTCAGAGTCCTGGCTACTGCCCAGTGGATTACAAAAGTAGTCCCCTGGGCCCTGCCTCTGGAAAAAGCCCAGTGTGCCACAGGAGTAGGTCTGGCTCCTGTGGGGGGTCCAGGAGGAGATGAACAGGTTTTCCCAGAGGCTGCAAGGAGCCCTGTTTGGGTGGGCATCCCCCAGTGATCTCAGGCCTGGGGACACAGGTGGTATGTGGCAACCACCAGGGCCTTCACCCCTGGTGATGTCAGCTCCCTATTGAGATGGTCCCCACCTGGGAGACCGCCAGGCTGAGAGCCCAAAGCAGCAGAGACAAGTGACCCTCCAGGCTACAATGACGGGTACCCAGCTCTGCCAGGTTGAGTCCAATGTCCCAGAGGCAGAGGCTCAGCTGAAAGGCTACGGTCCCCACACACCAGGGAGCCTCAGAGCCTATAGTGCCACCCTGAGGCCTGGGTCACCTCTCTGTGCAGTCCAGGAGCTGTTGGGTCTTCAATGCTGCAGGTAGTGCCTTGCCCAGCAAGCTGCACAGGAAAGTCTAGCTCCCTGGCCCCACGGTCTGGTGAGGGCAGGGACTTGCCCAGGATCACATAAGCTGGTGACAGGCCAGACTCTCTCCACACACTCAATGGGGGCTGTCTTCTCCCTGGGTCCCAGGGGCCCTGCAGCCCAAACCCACAGCTGGGGGTCTGTCCAGCCATGTGGCCCCAGTGCACACAGCCTTCCAGATGAGTTGAGGACACAGCCTCCTCTTGGAGCCATGGCCACTCAGCAGTCCCAGACCAGGGATGGGCGTCCAGCCATGTGTCACATGGGAAGTTGGATGGCCCAGCAGGGCTGGGATGCTGAAGGACACCTCCCAGACTAGGTGGGAGCAAGCGGTCTTCATAGTTCCAGAGGCACCTAGAGGGAAGAGATCAGAGGTGGGATTTCTGGAGGCATCATTTTAGGGCTTCCTTCCTCCTTTTCCTTCACTGTTTGGAGAAACGCCTTGCTCTGGGCTTGGGGCATGAGAGGGGTGTGGGTGTACTGGGGCCAGGGTGTGGGGCGGTGACCTTGGGTCTTTCACTGCTAGGAAGTGCTCCCAGGGGCCAGGCCCAGAGGAAGGTCAAAGTAGGAGTCAGGCCCTGGCACCCCTAGGAAAACACCCGATGACAGAATCCAGGATAGAGCAGGGAGTCCTGCCCAGTCATGGCCCTGACCTATGCCCCCAGCACTTGTGAGGAAGGAAGGGGAGCCGATTTACTGGAAGAGGGAGCCTGCACCCTCCCACGGTCCTCCAGTCAATTTGGGCAACGTTTCAGGAGGAAGTGCCGCCCTGAGTGCTCCCTAACCCTGCCTTCCCCTCCCACAGGAGACCCCCCTTAGTCCCCCTGGCCTGAACTCACCACCTCAGACCTTCATGGATGCGGGTGGCATCACCAACTCGTTCACCCTGGGGGAGAGACGGGCAGGGGTCAAGGTGGCGGATCAGCGGCGGCCGAGCCCGGGCACTGCTCTGGCGCATCGAATCACAGGGGCCCGCTGACCGGACGTGCTGGGCAGGGACCTCGTCAGCCCCAGGGGGAGGTGGGAGAGCCCAGGGGTGGGGAGAGGAAAGAGAGAGAAGAGTAAAGAGGAGAAAGTCAGAAAATGAGAGAAAAAGAGGGCTCCCAGCTCTAAAAACCATTAACCAGAGAAAAACCCAAGCCTAGAACCACCAGGAACAGGTCCCAAGCCCACCCTGGGTTCACCGTGGGCTCCCACAGCCCCCACACCCACTCGGTGCGGGTCGGCCTGCGAGCAGCAGGCAGCATCAAGAGGACAGGAGGGTTCGGGAGCTGGGCCAGGCCCCCGGGGGCCAGGTGACTCGGCCGCACAGGCATGCCCTCCCGCTCTGGGGCACCAAACCCTGAGTGCCCTGCAGTGGGGGCAGCAGGCCCACCCCACCCCCACTCACTGCTGCTCAGCCTTGGCGCGGTCGCTGAGGAAGAAGAGAGCCGTGGCTAGGAAGAACATGCCACCCAGGACCACGACGAAGGGGCAGAGCATGAGCGCGTAGCCCAGACTCAAGAACTCCCAGAGCGGGGAGTCCTTGGTGCTCTGGCGGATCAGGTCGGAGATCTGTGAGGATTGCGGGTGGAGTCAGGGCAGGCCCGCCCCCTGAAGCCCAGCACCCACCACGCCGCCCCTGCCCCGGACTCACAAAGCCGATGAGGTAGGGGCTGCCCGCGTCCCCCAGCAGGTGAGAGGTGAAGCTCTGCAGGGCCACGGCGGTGGCCCGTCTCGTGGGGATGACCACATACTGCGGAAGAGGTGGCAGGTCAGAGTGCAGAGGAGCCAGGCCCACCCACCTGGCCTCATCCCTGGGGTCAGGACATTTCTGAAGATCCCTTCTGCCCTGGTGTGTTAACACCTCACTCCGCAGGGCCCTCCCTCCCTTCACCCGCCCTCCCTAGGGTCCTCTGCTCATCTCCAGCTCACGAGGCCAAGCTGCCTTCCATCCTGCACGGGCTCTTGGTGGAGAGCCAGCTGCGTGGTCACGGAAACAGAGGCCCAGAGGGACACAGGTTACACATGGAGTCAGGCAGCGCTGGGCCCAGAGCCCTGACCTCTCAGCCTCCTGCCCTCACCTCCCCACCAGCTAAAGATCCATCTTGGTTCCCCCTCCACGAGGACCTGGCAAAGCCTAGGTTGGCCTGCAAGGGAGGGGGGAACAGGACCCTGCCTGGAAGAGCCTCCACTTTGACCCATGGGCACCCCCAGTACCAAATTCCACGAGCTGCTGGGCCCCAGGAATCCTTATCAGACCAAGCAGGCCCTAACCACAGGGGTCACAGCTCCAAAGCTGGGTGGGCCAAGGTCAGCAGAGCAATAGGGCAGGCAGCCCCCCTGGGCAGCCCCCTGCCCCCGAGATCTAGCTGCCTCATAAGTCAGAGTGTCAGCCCTTAGACAGTCTATGAGGGCAGCCAGTACCCACAGGGTGCCCCCATTACAGGGGGCAGGGAGGAGACCTGGATCTGATGGGATTCTGTGGCCTTATTTCCAGCAATAGTCACGTGGCTGTGACACTTAATAAAATGGGACACAATTTCCCTGGGACCCAAACCCTGTCAGCAGCTGGGGCTGCCCCTGGGGGCAGAGGCAGGTCCTGCCTAGCACCAAGGACACTTGATTCAGACAGATTCCTCCTCCCTCCTCTCCGGGCATGTGCAGTGACACCCCCCAACCCCTGCCACCCTGCCCAGCTCCATGCTGAGACAGTTGAGTCAGACGTCCTGCTCCCCCCAGCCCATGGACTGGTGTGGACAAGAAAGAGATGGCCCAGTGAAGCAGGTATGCAGGGAGGCTCTGGTGGGGCAAGGCAGCCTGGAGGTGAGGGGCTGGCAGGGATCTGGGCTGTCCCATAGTGGGGCACCAGACACTGAGTGCCCTGAGGGTCAGTCCATGAGGAGCCCTTCAGCCTCCTGCCCCCAGGGCCTCTCCCAGCAGCTCCAAGACCCTCTCCCCACCCCAATTCCCACCGTGCTGGGCCCCTGAACGCCCCTTCTCCCAGTCCTCTCCTGACACTGACTTGGAGGATTCCAGAACGCAGAACCAGGTGTTACTCCATCCCCCAACCCTCACCCCCATTCAGACTGCTGCGAATGAGCAGGACCACAGCCCCCTCTCAGCTCCTCCCAGGCTGCACCCAACCATGTTCAGTGACACAAACCCCTGCCGCACTCAGACAGCCCTTTGTCCCAGCCGGCCGGCTGGTCTGGAGCCCATTGTTGGCCCTGTGAAGACGGCCTCTGTGTGCCTGGCCACAGCCACAGGCACTCAGGCAGGGGGCCTGGGACCCAGGCTGAGCTAGGTCGATGGAAGCTCAGACCCTGGGGGAGGAGCGCTGGCAGGCAGCACTCCCTTGGTGCCAGCCTGGCACTGCCAGCCTCCTGGCCACAAACCTGAGCCTCTAGACATCCCCCTCCCCACCCAGTTTTCACATCCATCCTGCCTGCTTAACCCACTGATTTCAGCCCTGCCCCATGCAGACTCCAACTTCTCTGATCCCCTCCCTGCCTCCAGGCTCACCTTCCCAACCTGCCTGCCCCCTACCACCACCAAGTCCTGCCAGCTCTTCCTCCCCTCCTTTCGCCCTCCCCAGCTGCCCGAGAGGTCCAGAGGCCTGGTCAGCAGAGGCAACCTCAGCCTGCCTCACCATAAGGATGTCTGCGGTGATGGCCCAGTTAGAAAACAGCAGTGTCTCCCCGACAAAGATGCAGATCTGCCCAGGAGAAACCAGAACAACCGTCAGGAAGCGTTCCCCCCCACCAGCTGCCTCAGGCTGCTCCCTGCACCCTGGCTGTGGGCAGGGAACCCCAAAGCCTCCCAGCCCTCCCTGGAGCCTGCATCGCCTGGCAGTCAGGCTCACAAGGAATTTGTGGCTTATCAAGCCATGCCCGCAGCCCTGAAAGACACCGGAGCCCTGGACAGGCTCTGGACAGAACAGGGGCAGGCAGACAGGAGCCTTCCCATGGGGAGGGAGAGCCCCATAAGTCAGACTGCATCTCCTACTAGGCCACTCCCTCACCACCCTTGTACCCCCCACTGCACTCACATAGGCCCCCACGATGCTGCTCTTGGCGGCCACGAAGATGAGGCAGATGAAGATGGCAGAGCCCAGCATGCCCACAGCACACACCAGCGGGTCGGCCCGCTGGGTCCGCAGGCGGCACCAGCGCGTGGCTCCTGCCCCCGTGACCACACCCAGAAAGCCCGTAAAGCAGGTGATGGCCCCAAAGATGAGGCTGTAGGGACAGAGGATGGTGGGGTATGGGTTGAAAGGAAGGCCGACACTGGGCCAGAGGGCTGGCACTTCCATCCAGCATCCCTCGCTACCCTGCCACCCACCGCCCCACCCGGGCCTGGCCCCACCTGTCCTTGGCCCCGCAGGGTGGGCTGCTGCATGCCTCTGCCGTCTTCTGCACAACCTGGGCGCGGTACAGGTACAGTGGGATCCACATGCCCAGGGCCCCTGTGGCGAAGGACACGGCCGACGTGGCCAGGGAGGAGAAGACGTAGCTGCGGCTGGGGAGAGGCCGGGGCAACACTGAGCGGGGGCCAGGACCCCTGCAGCCAGCCCAGGAGCAGCCTTTGCTCCCCCATTCCTTCCCCAGAGTTGGAAGCCTCTAATGTCTTCCCTTACAGGTTCTGGGCGTGAGGCCTGTGACTGCTGAACACATACTAGTGGCCACAATGTCACTCCCAGCACTGCTGGCAGGAGAGACAGCAGGGAGTCTGGCCACGGGTGCCGGGTGGGCTGCCCTGCAAAGGGTGTGCTCTCATCTTGGCACCGCCCCCCTCTTCCCCCCAGACCCCTCCCAGCAGTACTCACTTGCGGATCAGGGCCTTCATGTCTCGGAGCCACGAGGTCCGAGCCTTGAGCTGCCCCCCGAGCTGGTCGGCGTGGCCTCTCTTAGTGGCCGGGACCAGAACGAGGATGAGTGTTCCCGTGATCATGCCCACGATGGGGGACACCTGACGGGGCGGGGAGCACCAAGTTAGGTCACACCTTCTCTGGGCTCTGGGTTCCTCCTCGGGGCTGCTACCTGCCCAGCCTTCCTGATTGGACTGCTGAGCAAAGCCGCTGGGGATGTGGTCAGCAAGGGGCTCGGGGGCTCAAACTGCAGTGTCCAGAGCAGGGGCGGGATGGGAGGGGGCCCGAAGGAAGAAGGGAGGGACAGGCGGTCAGATGGATAAAGGAGGGAAGACAGATGGCTGAATGAATATATGGACACACAGATGGAAGGAAGGAGGGAGGGATGGGTGAATGAACTGATGAAAAGACAGGAAGATAGACGCTGGATTGATGAATCGCTGGATGGATGAGTTAATACATGGAAAACCAGGAAGATGGCTGGCTGATGAATGGATGGACAGAAAGAAAGGCAGGTAGGTGTTGGACAGACATGGAATGATGAGTGGGAGAGGAGAGAGCGTTCCTGTGGTCAGGGAGCCAGATACCAGCCCTGCCCGAACCCCTGGGTCTGGGAGTTTCCCAGGCCAGAGCCTCGCCCTGCAGGTCACTGGGAACGGACTGGCTGGGCATGAAGCATCCGGCAAGTAGATCAGGTAGGTTATCATTTGGGGGGCCCATGTGGGTCCTCCCTGTGCCCAGCCCAGCATGAAGAACAGAATCTCCAGGCCCCAGCCACTCTCCAGATGGGGGGACATTTTGGCAGCCTGATTTCCAAGGGAAATCTGTTCCCACCCCACCAGGCCTGGGAGCCTCTCCATTCGCTCCCACTCCCATTAAGAAATTCCACGGAGGCTGCTTCCTTCCTGCTTTTGAGGAAAAAACACTTTGTCTTGAGCTTCCTCTCCTCTGTGAGACTGGGGATCTCTGTTTCCTCTGATTGCACTGTCCTGGAGCCTTGGCAGACTTGCCTGGAATCCTCTCCGGGGGCAGGAAGCGGCCGCAGACCCCAGGGGCCCCACACAGAGGTCTCTCTCAGCCTCACCCTAGCACAGCACCGGGGCTCAGAGCAGGAAGCGCCATCGTGGACCCAGAATTTCCTGACCCAGTGGGAGAGTTCTTCCTCTCAGCCTGGGGGCCCAGAGGGTGATGGGGCTGCTGGGCTCTGCTCACACCTGGGCCCCCCAACACTACCATGGAGACTAATCTAGAAGAGTGCCGGCCCACGAGGTGGGACGCCTCTGTCCCTGAATCTCTGGGTGACCCTGGGCACGAGCTGGTCTGGTGGTGTCCTTACCCTCAAGGCCCAGTGCCAGTCTCCGGCTGCCTGCTTCACGCTGGAGCCGGTGATGTAGCCCAGGCCGCTGCAGGGAAGACAGGCACAGTCAGCAAGGACAGGTGGGGGCGGGCGGCAGGGGGTGCTCACTATCTATGAGGCAGGACACCTGCCCACCTGCCCCGACCACCCAGCCAGCTGGCTGGGGAGCAGGTCCACCATTTCTCCAAGGCTGACCACCCACATGTTTAGGTCCCAGAGGACAGGGAGCGGTCAGAAGCCTGAGGGGACCTTGCCCGGATCCTCACCTGCCCAGCGGAATGGCAAAGTAGAAGACAGACAGCATGAGCGTGCGTGTGTTCTTGGTGAAGAGGTCGCCAATGATGGTGGGCGCGATGGTGGAGTAGCTGGCCTCCCCGATGCCCACCAGCCCCCGGGACACGACCAGCAGCCAGAAGTGCTGTGGGGGAGGGGGGAGAATGCTGGGGAGCTGTCCTGCTCCTCTGTCTGCTCATCCTTGGTCCCCACTTTGCTCTGTACCCCTGTAGGGTCTAGGAGGAGCTAGGGAAAAGGATGGAGCCCAACCCCTGCCTCAACAACTACACCCCCAGGCCGCTCTGGGCCTCAGTTTCCCCCTCCATAGGGGGTCTAACTGGGCCTGGTTAGCCCAGTGCTGGGGTGGGACTTGAGTCTCTCAAGTTGAGAGTTGTAAGTATGGCCCAGACAGGCCCCCTCTGGCCCCCTCATAAGCACGGAGGACCTAAGCCTGTGTCTTACCCCCCCCAATGGGAGACTTCCTTTCTGAATTCTGGTTCTACCTTGGGAGCCTCGAGTCACCCCCACTCTGTGTCCCACCCCCAGGCAGGGCAGCTGGGCTATCCTGGCAGCACTGGCAGAGGATCACGTGTGGGTGCAGAATGGGCAGGGCTGCCCAGTGCTCGGCGTTCCTCCCCCATACACATCAAAGAGCAAAGCCTGCTGATCTGGGAAGGGTGGGGCCATGCCAGCTGCCAGTGGTGCTACCCTTTGATGTGGACCTTGTCCCCTCTATCCCCCCAGCTGCCCAGGGCCTGAGAACACAGCCTGGTCATCTTTCCCCGGCCCCACCCTGACCACCCATCCGGCCAGCATCACCCACATCCAGCCCTCCTCTGGGCTCCCTGCCTCCTCTCTCCATCTGCCCAGCTCTTTCCTGGCCCTCTCGGCGTCACCGGCCTGCCCGGCCACCTCGGAGCTCCTTCACTCTCTCCACCTCTGAGTCCTTCCCTAGCTCCTTCCCTCTGCTTCTTTTCTTGGGGATCATCTGCCTACAGCCTTCGCCTATTTTTCTGTTGGGTTGTCTTTCTTGCCTTGGTTTCTATATATCATGGGTATCGACCCTTTATTACGTACGTCACAAATATTTTCCACTTTGTATATGGGGAGTTCCACCGCTCAGAAGCTTCATTGTGTGTTGTTTAATTTGAGGATGTCCAATCTGCTAATTTTCCCTTACTGGCTTCTGGATTTCACATCTTGTTCAGGACAACTTACTCCATCCCGAAATGATAAAAATATTCTCTAATATTTTATGTTCGTTATAGAGAGAGCATGCGAGACTGGGAGGGGTTTCCTCAGCTCTTCTCCTCGGCACAGGAGCAGGCAGATGAGGCGTCTCTGACAAGGGGTCCTGTGAACCCCCCCTCCTCCCCCAGGCGCCCACTGCACAGTGCATTTGTTACTTACACACCCACGTACCAATGAACAGCACTTAGTGTCCCATGTGCTTTGAAAAAAATGACCATAAAAGTAACCATTCCATGCATCTTGTCCCACAGCTCGCTCTTCCCTCATTCCTATCTTTTAATGCAGATCTAGCTCACTCTTTTGTGATCAAGAGTCCCATAGGATGAAAATGCCCCATTTTATCTGGGCTTCCCTCAGGCACGCTCCCGTAGGTGGTCTCCCTTTTTTCGGTTTCAAGACTGCAGCGAACATCCTCGCGTGCACCGTGTGCACAGGTTGGAGCTTCTGTCTTGGGCATATACCTCAAAGCAGAAGGCTGGGCCGCAGGGTGTACACAGCCAGAATGTTGCAAGATCCTCCGCTTTGCTTTCCAAAGAGTCTCTATCAATTTACACTCCCACCAGCAGCTTTAATAACACTTGGTATCGCCAGCCTTTTTAATTGTTGCCAATCTGATGGGTGTGAAATGGTATCTCAATGTTGTTTTAATTTGCATTTCCTTGATTACTCCAGTGAGTACGTCTCTGCTTGGCTTGCCCATTGGGTATCTTCTCCTGGAATTGTCGGTCACCATCCTTTGCCCATTTTTCTACTGAGTTGTCTTTTTCTTGTCGATTGATAGTTCTAGATTGTTATAGTTTGCTTTTTACTTTCCTTGGACCTATCCAGGATTTATTTTGATGTATGGTTTGAAATACAGGCTAAGCTTCATTTTTCATCCAGATGGATAGTCAATTCTCCCAAAACCAGGAGATGCAACTTTCATCCTACACTCAGTCCCCATAGGAGGGAGGACTATGTGCCACTGCTCTCGGTCTGTCCCTCTGCTGGTTTAGCTAGAACAGCCACATTGGAATAACTGGCAGGGAAAATCCCCTTCACTGTCATTTTTCACAATGTTCTTAGCTGTTCTTAGGTGTTTTCTCTGCCAAATTAACTTCAAAATCCTGTGGGACTCGGATTGTGATTGCAGAGAATTTATAGATTAATTGGGGTGATCTGTTTCTCTCTCTGCCTCTGCTCACCTTCTCTCCCCGACCCTCCCTCCTTCTACACACCTAGAGTGGGGCCCAGCACTGGCATCATGGCCCTGGACTCCCTGGTCAATCCCAGAAGTAGCCCTAGAGATCAGAAGACCAGGGGCCTGGCCAGGGGCAGGGCAAGGTCCCAAGGGGCCCTAGAGGCTTCTGGTCCAGGCCCCAGTTTTTACTGTGGGTGTCAGGCTGACACTCTGGGCTTGGAGCTTACCTGAGCCTGAAGCTGCCCCATGAAGGAAACATGTACCCCCCAACCTGCTGATTCCCTTTGCTCTCACCTCCAACTGCCTCTCGAGCAATATAAATCTGACTCACCATTGCTCTTCTTTGCACTCTTCCTGCACTGCCCTCAGGGGGAAGCCCATTCCCTCCACCCTGGCATTTGAGGCTCTCCCTGACATGGCCCTTGCCTTCCTTGCCAGCCAAAACACTATCCTCCTTGATTTCTCAACACAACCCACCATTTCTGCAGCCATGAGTTTGCTCCCTCTGTCCATTCTATCTTCACCAAAAGGCGTCATCTCCCTGTCCTCCCTGCCCAGCTCAAATGCCACCTCCTCCAGGAAGCCTTCCTTGACCTGTGGATTTTAAGAGACTGCTCTCTCTACACTGAGAACTCTCAGCACTTTGCACATCCTGAAGGCTCTAAAGATGAGACCTCCTGTCACATCTTCCACCGCTACCCTGGGTGCTCCCAAGGTCAGGGCAGGGTCTCCTCCTTTATCCCCTAGGCTGAAAACTTCTTGAGGACAGATCCTGGTACTCCTCCCCTTTTTCCTCTATCTCCCTCTACAGTAACCATCACATGATTGCCCTTCCTCTGCTTGAACATTCCTAGTGATGGGGAACTCACTACCTCTTAAAGCAACATATCTCCTTTCTGGAAGAAAGAATCGAAATAATGATTTTCTGAACAACTGCCATGTTCCAGGGCCTAGATAGTCATTAGCTCAGTTATTTCTCACAATAAATCTTTAAGTTGAGAAGTATTATCCCCATTTTAAAGATGAAGAAACTGAGGCTCAGAGACAAGTAAATTTCTCCCGATCATAAGGCTGAATGGGCAAGAGTTGGGATATTCAAACTCAGAACTGTGGGAGCCAAGTAAGAAACATCTTCCTTATGTTGAAGTGACATTTGCCTCCCTGGGACTTTGACCCAAGCAGTTATCAAACGAAGAGCAAACAGTGGGAAGCCCAGACAGGGGCATGGCTCACCTATGGTCACACAGAAAGAGTCTGGCGGAGCCGGAACTAGAACCAAAGCGTCCTGGCTCCTAGGCCAGACTAGTTCCCCCTGCTCCTTGAATCCCTCCCCCAAATCAGAGGCAGCTGAGAGAGCCAGGCGGCCACACTGGGCTGTGGGCCCCTCAGTTCAGGCCAGCATGGGGACAGCACTATTTGCAGGGCCAGTTAATAAAAGTGCCCAAAGACTCTCGCATCCCACTGTACTTGGAAGATATTATCTAGCTCTGGAGTTTGAAATACAGACTAAATTTGATTTTAGTTTGAGCAAAGGGGCTGTAACCCCCAGTCTACACTAAGACAGGTCAATCAGACAGGCCACCAGCTGGAGGAACAGATGGGACACTCAGGGTTGCCGGGCGGGACGTCCGGACAGGCCTCACCTGCTGTGAGATGAAGGAGCTGGAAAACGTGACTGCCGACCAGAAGAAAATGCCGCAGCTGAGAATCACTTTCCTGTTGAAGCGGTCGCCCAGGTAGCCGAAGATGGGGGCAGCCACCATGAAGCTGCAGATGAACACTGTGCGGGCAGAGGAGAGCTTGAGGGCTGCTGTCGGGTGCTCGTGCCTGAGCCACCTGCCCACATCGCCCCAGCCTGAGGCCAGGGGCCCAGGAGACAAAGCTCAGCCTGGGCCAGGGACTGAGGAAACGAGCCCAGGGAGGAAGCAATTAATGTGAAGATTAATGTTAGTGAGAAAGCAACCTCAGCCAGGCCAGGGCCCGGGGGAGGCAGGTAAGGCCCTCTGGGTTCAGGAGATTCTGTGACGCCTTCCTCTTTAAGGCAGGGCCACAAGGCATCCAGTTGTAGGTGAGCCCTTCGGGTACTTTGGGTACTTTTATTTTTTTTTATTTACTATCCTCACCTGAGGTTATTTCCAGAGCGAATGGAAGGGGGAGAGAGGGAGCAAGAGAGAGAAACATCAGTTGGCTGACTCACGCACTCGACCTGACCGGCGCCAGGGATCGAGCCTGTAACCCAGGTACGTGTCCTTGGCCAGAATTGAACCCTGGACCCTTCAGTCCACAGGCCAACATTCTAACCACTGAGCCAAACTGGCTAGGGCTCTTTGGGTACTTTTAAAACAATATAGATCTATTCATCGAACAGTTTGTATATGCCAGGATCTGTGCTAGGGCTCACCACAAAGCATCCTGTGTATCCTTCCACCCCATCCCACCTCGCAGATGGGGAGACAAGCTCAGGGAGAAGTGACTTGCCCAAGGCCCCACCATCAGTAAACAGCCCAGTGGGGATTTGATCCTGCCTGCCTGACTCCAGAGCCAGCATTCCTTATATTTTGCCACACTGCTTTCCTTATTAGACTTGGGAAAGAGAGGGGAAGGGAACTACCCAAGGTCACACAGCAAATCAGGACAGAACTGGGCCTGGCACTCCAGGTCTCATACCAGAGAGATCACACAGCCACCCTCACTCCCAGCAGGTTGCAAGGGCTTTCCTGACATTTGAAAACACTGTTGTTCATTTGTTTGTTCCTTTGTTCATTCATCCATCCATTCATCCACCCATCCATCCATTCATCTATCTCCATTCATCCATCCAACAAAAAACAAAAATTCCTGCTCTCTTGGAGCTTACATTTTACTAAGGAGAGACAGACAATAACATCAAAAATATAGTATGTCAGATGGTGACAAGTGCTAAGGAGGGTAAAAGGCAGAAACAGGAGATAGGAAATGTGTAAAGTAGATGCTATAATTTTATATAGAAGGGTCGGAGAAGGTGAGGAAACAAATCGTGCAAATATTGGGGCAAGAATTCAAGTACGAAGGCCCTGGGGCAGGAGTGTGCTTAGCATACTTGAGGAACACCAAAGAGACCTGAGTGGCTAGAACAAGAGGGGCAGAGGGGGAAAGGCCAGATGGGTTATAGCCTTATGGTCCATTGTGATGCTGTGGCTTCCGCGGGTGAGAAAGGAAAATAATGGAGGATGCTGAGGAGTGATCTGACCTGGTTTTGTTCCTCCAGAACAAGAGAAAGGCAGAGTCTCAGAGGACTCCATGGGGATGCCACTGCCAGTGACAGAGAGGCCCTGGAGGTCCCAGGTGAGATAGAGGCCAGCAAGCAAGGGTAGGCTCTGGGTCACAGGCAAGGCAGGCCCCCTACTCCCCCTGGAAGGCAGTCCCACAGCTGATGGGCAGATGGCCAGACAAAGGCTGGGAGTGAGCAGACAAGGTGGCCAGTGGCTGGCCTCTGACCGCCAGGCTGAATGTGCCCATGGGCTGGACTGCTGTCTCACAGATCTGAGTCCCCAGGGAGGCAGGACTGGAAGAAGAGAAAGGGGGAGGGGGGGAGGGAAAGAGGTGAACTAGGGGAGAGGGGGCTGGGCTGGAGGGGTGTGACTCTCTTATCCTAGTGAAAGCAATGAGTATGTATGGGGTGTATGGGGGCCTGTTAATCCCAACTATGTGTGACTGGGACTTTGGACAGAATCAGCATAGAGGTGCTCAAATTTGAGCTTCAGCGACACACTGCCTGGGTTCAAATTCAGCTCTGTTCTTTTCCAGTTGGGTAACCTTGAGTAGGTCACAGCCTCTCTGTGCCTCAATTAGTGGTGTGCTGATAAATGTTGAACAACTGGCTCTCCTGGTGTGTAGTGTTTGCCAGTTTCCAAGGTGTAAATATTCCCACCCTGGATGATTTCAAGCTACCAATGTGATGTCACTGTTCCACACAGCATTGTATATACAGTATTTCCACAAGACAGATATAACAGAAGTAAATAACCTTAAGAACACAGATAAGAGCAAAAAGTAATAAAAAATTAGGGAGTGATGAGTTGTATTTATTGCCTTTGTGGGTTTTTTGTTTTGTTTATGTGTTTTTTTAAAAAAATGTGTTTTTATTGATTTTAGAGAGAGGAAGGGAGAGAGAGGAGAGAAACATTGAAGAGTGAGAGAAACATTGATCGGCTGCCTCCTACATGCCCCCTACTGGGGATCAAGCCCTAAACTCGGGCATGTGACCCCACTGGGAATGGAAACAGCAACCTCTAGGTGCATGGGACGACACCCAACCAATTACGTAAAAACCTTTGTTTTTAACATAAGTTGTTTAATCATAAGTTTACATAATTTAGTTTCTAATAATGGTTTTATTTAACAACCAGCTCACATAATTCCTGAAAATCTAACAATTGACTCTCAGGCGCAGGTCTAAGTCATTTCCAGCAGGCCAACTTCCTTAAAATGAAGGTAAAAATAGCAGCTCCCCAGTTGCTCTTAGCCGTGGATGAGATAACGTTAGTAAGGTGCTTAAAGCCGCACCCTGACCAGAGTGGGGTGGCCTCAGTCAACACTGGGCCTTTGTTTAGATTAATCAAAGGAGAAATTATTTCCTCATCTCTAGAAAAAGAATTTTTCCTGCTGGGCTGGCCTCCCAGGACCTTCCTGAGATCAGACCAGGATATGGGCAGGAAAGAGATTTCTATCTCTTTAGGACTTACATACGGCAGGGGGGAGAATTGTTGCCTCTCTCTACTAGGTGGGGAGGGAGCAAAAAGAATCAGAGTGGGGGTTGCACCTTGCCTGGTAAGGGGGGGCACACCCCATCCACAGGTTGCCCAGCCTGAAGGGCTAAAATGCCAAGGAACCAGCAGGGAAGGCCAACTCCTGCTAGAATAACAAAGGGACGCTTCATGGAGGTGGTGATATCAAAGCTGGGCATTGAAGGATGGATAGGAATTTACCGTGATGATAATACTTAAAATCAAGAATATACACTAACATATAAATTCTAAATCTTACAAGCAATGCTGTATAATAGTTGAGGAGGCACAATGCTTACTGTTAATAATAACCTCAGTTATCACTTATGGAAGACTAATTACAGGCAAGGCCCAAGGATGTGCCCTGGACATGAGCACAGGCTGTCTCACCCGATTCTCACTCTGTCTTCATCTTCCAGAGGGGACAACAGGGGCTGAAGGGAGTGAACCACACTAGTGTGCGACTGAGCCAGGATTTAAACCCCGATTTGTCCGACTCCAGGGTCCTTGCTCTAAATCACGTTACCGACTGCCAGGCTGGGAAGGGGGGTGGTCCCAGCTGATGTTCCCAAGGTCAGAGAAAGTTCAGGGTGCTTTGGGGACAGTGAGGAAGCAGGTCGGGCCGCAGCCAAGGAAGCTATGGGGGCAGCAGCGGAGATTAGGCTCTGCAGCAAGGTTGGGCCCTAAACACCAGGACCAGGTTTGGCGTTTCGTTAGAGGGCACAGCATGCTCCGCTCTCCCCCTTCAAGGGGGCCCACTGGAAAAGCCCCCCCTGGGGGGGTGGAGAGGGGCTGAAGGAAGTGAGCGGGGCCTTGGCCAGACCCAAGTCTCCTGGCGCACCTCCACCGCCTGCCCGCAGCCGAGCAGGGAGGCAGCTCCTGGCTCTCTCCGCCAGCTTTCCGCCTGCTCCTCTGGGTGGGCAGAGCAGCCGGGACTGCAGGTGGACTCCTCTGGAGCAAGCACACCCTGTCCCCACCCCTGGTTCCAGCCTGCTGAAGGTCACCGGGCACCACCCTGAGCGTCACCATGTCTGTCCCATTTCACAGCTGAGGCCACTGATACGTGGGAGAACTTGTCCAAGATGATACCGTGACCCTCCTGACCCCGGACTCCCTTATCCTTCAGTGCCTTCCCCTCGGGGACAGGGGAGTGCAAGGTTAGGAGGGTCACAGTATCGTCTTGGGCAGGTTCCCCACATATCAGTGGCCTCAGCTGTGAAAGGGGAGATATGACCCATCTTCGCAGCCCTCCCCTCTACCCTGCTTGGGGTGGACAAGAGAGAGGACCTCTCCTGGTCCTCAGGGGTGTCACAGGCCAGCGGAGGGGGCTGAACATAATCACGATAGTAACCGTAGGAAAAATGCTGCTGGCAGAAGGACCGGCACAGACAAAGGCAGGGACACGTGAACCTGTCCCAGACAGGCGCAGGGGCCAATCTGGCCAGCAGGCAGCTCCGCTGCAAATAGAGACCAGCCAGGCTAGAAGCTTCCCTGTACACCCACCCCCACCCGTCTTTGTTTGAGGAGAGCTTCCCGGGCGGCCCAGCTGCCCCACCCCTGAGGTAGGGGTGGCTTTCCCAGCAGCTCCCGCAGGAGGACATCCTGTGGTCTAGGAGCGGGGAAGCCCTCACTCAGGTCACATGTGCTGAGCCCACAGGTCTGGGACAATGGAGTGGTGGGCAGAGAGCCAGGGGGTGGGGTGGGGGCGGGGCAGGGCCCTGATGGCCTGGTGAGAGAAGTCAGGGCTGAGCTTCACTCCCTTCCAGTGAGATGGCCATGCCCCTCCTCCCGGGGCTGACGAGAGTCACCAGGAAGATGGGACGTGGACAACATCGTAAGGGCTGCCCACCTCTCATGGCAGTCCAAGGGCTCGGTGCTGGCTGAAGGCCCTTTTCCCTGTGGGCCCATAGAGGGACCAGTACCCAGAAGCTCCGAACAGCCCCCACTGAGGACCCTGTGCCCGGGCAGGCCACTCCAGGACCCACACCACGGGGCTGCTGAGCCACCTCAGTGCACATGCGGCCCTGTTTGACCCCAGAAGGTGGGCCTAGAGCAGGAGTGGGTGAGGTCTGGGCTGGGGGAGCCCTGGGCTCCTACACTGTGGCCTTGGAGCCCGCATCCTGCCCCCACCTTGGCCTGGGCTGAACCAGGACTATTTTTACAAAGTCCAGATCTGACTGGCCTGTTATTTGGAAAAGATCCGCCATCCTCCACATCCTGTGGGCAGGGAGAGTGCTCGGCAGGCATGGGTGGGCAAGGGTCAGGCTCTGCCTGAGTGCCCTCCCTGCCCACGGGATGGCAGCCCAGGCCAGCCAAGATGATGGGGAGGACCTGAAACAGCCTGGACCCATCAGTGCCTGAAAGCCACCATGCCCAGACTTCCTGTGAGAGCATCTCCTCCTTGACAGTCTGCTCGGGATATAAGCCCTAGGCTGGCCCCTCAGGCCTCAGGGGGGACCTGGGAGAATAGCCATAGGGGCTGCCCAGCTTTGCCTTCAGAATCAAAGCAGAGGATATTTACAAGGTTGGCCGAAGTGAGGAGGGGAGCAAGGCCAGAAGGAGACTCAGACCCAAAGCAGATGAGCTGTCTGGTTTCAGTTTGAGCTGGCTCTTCCTCTGTCCCCACTATCCCCCTGCCACCCCCACTCCCATCCTGACACTTCCTCATGACGCCACAAACCCCAGCCCTGAGCTGCCTTCCAGCATCCTCTGCAATCCATTCCCACACTGGGCCCCCGAGTAATTATCCTGACGCACACATCCTACAGGGACCTGCCCTGCTCTGAAACCTTCTCTGGTTCCCCACTGGCCCAAAACAAAATCCAAATGTTTTTCACCATCAGACTCTGACTCTTATCCAGCCTCCGGCTTCCATTCGCTCCACACTCCAGTCAATGGCTGATGAACCACAAGTCACCAGAGCCAGGCAGTATCACAACCTTCATTCTCCCCCTTCCCCTGAGCTGTATTTATGTTGATTTCCTCAGACCCATCTTCTAACTTGCTTATTTTCTCTTCAACTGGGTCTAGTCTACCCGTTTACAACTCTAATTATTACACATTTTAACTTTAATACTTATATTTTTCACTAGTAGAATTTTAAATGTAGGTCTTTTAAACACACCCTGTGTTGTTTTTTTTAATAAGGTACTGTTCCTGTCCTATAAATTCTACTCTCTCCTATAGAGCTTTGAAAATTAAGTCTACCTAATGTTAAAGTCCCTTCAGGAGTTCTGTAATTCTTTGGGAGTTGCTTTTCCCATTTTCTGGGCCAGTTGACTCCCTCCCACAAAGATGGGTGTCCCTGTGTGCTCTATCCATTTCTAATTCGACTTTGTCTTCAGCAGGAATTGTCACCTGTGTCCCATGCAAGATCTGGATCCTAAGGGGCAGTTTCGCATTTCCTCTGCACAAAGCAGGGGCTGGACTAGGCTCTCTGCCTGAAGCCGGAACCAGGAAGGGCATGTCTTTCACACCGGCCTGGGGCACAGACTGAAATCAGGGAGCTTGCCCTGGGCTCTGAGTGGAAACCAAGTCACCCATGACACGAGAACCCTGCCCGATCCTCAGAACAAAGAAACTCCCAGCCTGGAAACTGGGCCAGACTGGTGATATCTGATCACTCTGGGCGATGCTATATGGAGGGTCGTTGTCTATTCTCTCTATATTTTATGTATATTTAAATTTTTTCATCATAAAAATATTTACATTAAAGATACTGTAACAAGCTTCTAAGGCATACACTGGTCCCCCAACACTGCAGCACTTGGCTTTAATACCAGCTCCCATTCCCGTGTCTGAGCTCAATTCTTTGCTTCTGGCCCCTGGAAACTTTCCTGCTAGCTTTAGCTTTCAAGCTCCGCCATGTAATGTAAATGTTTCTTGGCATATTTCATCCAGCGTGGAGGGGAAAGGAGGGCTTCTCACATCTACTCAAGCTGACAAACTGCCTGGAAGTTCTTTCCCCTGAGTAAATCCTAACTCGTCCTTCAAAGCCCCACTCAAATGTGTCTGCCTTGAGGAATTCCATCTTCACCTGCCTCGAAGCAGAGCGCACGCAGCGCACACTCACCGCAGTCTCCCAGTGCCCTAGGCCCGGGTGGAGACTGGATATGATTTCTGTTCCCATGCACAGAGGGGAACTCCCTGAGTGCAGGGACTGAGTATGGCAGAGTCCAGCCCAGGGCATGCCATGCAGAGGGTTCAGAGGCAGCTGCCCCTTTAGGTGTAGTCAATGGGGGCTCCTGATTGCCCAAAACAGCAAGAGCCAAGGGCTATCATTCTGGCCTTTCGCAGAGGCTGAGCTATCGCTGCTTCAGGAGACTCAGGGGTCAGCTCTGAGCCAGCAGCAATCTGCAAGGGGCCACCGAAAGTAGGCTTTTACCAAGCTAGTGCCCCTGCTCTGGTCCCAACCGGAAATAGCAGGGGCAGGCCCGGGCCTAACCCTCAGCCACCTCCCAGCCTGTCTCCTCGCCCAGCAGCCCCTGGTGCCCAGAAATAAGCAGACAACTCAGCTCTCAGCCCTGGCCCTTTGATCCGGGCAAGCACCAACACCTGGCTGGCGCCCTCCACCTGGCTCCGACCTTATCAGCGCTTGGGGAAGAGACAGGTGTCTACGGCCCAGGCCAATTAGGTGATTTGCCTGGGTGCCCACTGGGTCACATACTGGTCTAGCTGGGTCACATACTGGTCTAGCTCACCTGGCTTCTTGGTTCAGATGGCCAAAGGGATGCAGACACTCCGGGGAGCCATCCCAGCTGTGCAAGGGGTATGTGGTAGGGTGAGGGTCAGGAGGTAAGACTTGAGGGTCTCTGAGAGTGCTGGGACTCTCATCATGGCCTAGAGGCATCGCCCCCCCTCTCCCCGAGAATGCTAGATGCCAGACTCTCAGACACCTCAATCCAGTGGCAATCTGTGCTCCCTCCCCAAGCCAAGAGGACAGCGGAGTTCCAGTTCCAGGCCCACTGCTGTCTCACCATGAGATCTTAAGCAAGTCATTTTCCCTCTCTTAAGCTCTGTCCCTTCATCTAAAGTGAAGCTTATAGAAGAAATAAACAAACAAGATGATGCCTGTGGAGTCTCTGTCCACCTCTGGCCAGGTTTCCAGGGATCATAGGGACTGCCATGACTTCTCTCTCTTAGCCAGGAAGGCAGCCTGCGACATAACCTCGACAGTGCTACAACTCACAGCCCTCCCACCGGCTCCCTGAGCGGCTGCACTGGCCCTGACCTCACTCAGTGGGGGCTGAATGGAGAGACTGGGGCAGAGCCTTGCTCTGTATCTGTCGGCAAGGAAAAGACCAGAGGAGATGAGGCTCAGCATGTCCCCAGTGACTCAGGGGCCACAGAAGGAGGGTCTGGGTGGCTAGGCTCTCTCCCGCCCTTTCCTCACCAGCTCAGCAGCATGCTCCCTCCCATGCTCCCATCTGGCTTGAACTCTCTCTTCCCTCTGTAAGTGCAGAGCTCAGGAGGCTAGAGGGACCTGTCCCAGGCCCCAGGGCAGGCTGACTTGCTCTGGCCCAGCTAGGGACATCCAGCAAGGGGGTAGGGGCCAGGAGAGGGGTTTGGGCTCACATCCTGGGTGGAGGTGATGCCTGCAATGGCAGGGACCTGGCCACCCTTAGGAGGTGCTGGATCACACAGCCTTGCCCCAGTCCTAGCTCTGTCAGCTCTCACATATCAGGGATGAGCCCAGAGTTATCACACCCCCTCTCTCTGAGCCCCAAAGACCCCATCAGGAAAATGAACACAGGTAGCTGGGCTCTATGAACTCATTGTGGAGGCCTGGCATTGTTCATGCTGGAATGCCACCTAGACAGGTCAGGCAGGTTCCTGAACCGAACCAGCTCATTCCTCCCCTCCTCCCAGGAGAGCCCCGGCAGGGGAAGGGGTTCACAGACTGGAATGCAGACTGTGGACTTCCTCCCAGACATCTGACTGGGCCTCACAGTCAGGTGGACTCCTGGACCCAGAGGAACCAGGGCCCAAAGGACCAGGCCCAGCAAGGATGGGATGCACTGCTGGCTCTGAGGGGCAGGCCATCATGGCCACAGCTAGTGAGAGGGCCAGGGAGCCAGGAGCTCAGGTCCACCAGGGTCATGTAGTAGGCAGGGCAGGGACAAGGGAGACATGGACCCTAGAGGGAGGGGCAGACAGGCTGCTATAATTGCTTAATGACCTACCACCCTGCCCTGGCCCAGGGGACTTGGGCCCTGCCTCCCCAAGGGTCAGAAATCTGGGGCCCCAAAGGAGGGGCCTGAGAACCTCAGGCCCAGGACTAGGCCCCTGCCCTGAGTCTGGGAATGGCTTTGGGCTGACCAGGGGGTTTCCTGATTTGATATCTAATAGATGACTCCCAGGTTGGTGGCAATGGAAGGCACTGGGGATGGGGGAGGATAGGAAACAGGGTTGCCAAGGCTCTGCTGACAGTGCCCAACTTACTGCCCTAAGGAGCTCCTTTCAAAGCCTCAGGATGAAACCTGGAGCCCTGGGTCCCCATGAGGCCCCAGGAGCCGCCTGCAAGGACCTGGGCCCTCGGCCTGCACACTGATCTATCTCCCATAGCCTCTCAGGGCAGGTGTGACTTGTTTTCTTTTGCAAGAAGAAAAGCAGAGGCTGGAGAAGGGGGCCTTTTGTGAGCGGCAGCAGTGGGATTTGTATGCAAAGCCCATGCTCTTACCAGACGGTCAGGACCCATAAGAGCCCCAGCAGAGAATGACCCGCCAGGAAGGAGGGGCCAGGACCTGGAAGGGGGGAGTGGGCCTCACCTGACTGCAGCAATCCGGCTCCTCGGTCCTTAACTCCAAAGTGCTGCTGGATGTCCAGAAGGACACCTGGAGGGGAAGACAGATGGTGCTTACTGGCAACGTCTGATGCCTGTTACCCCATTCCCTACCCCACCTGGGTTACCCCCAGTCCCAGCCCAGCCCTCTTCCCACCTTGCAGGGCCCAGCCTGGCCCCATCTATACACCTTCGCCCTGCCCGGTTTAGCTAGGTCCCTGGGGACCTTGGAGGCCAAGCTTCCATCCTGCCCTCTCACCTCTCAGTGTATTCAACCAGGGCCCTGAGTAAGCACAGCACCCAGCCCTGGGGGCCAGGGGCCCCGCCTCAGCTTATCTTTAGGACACCAGAAGACTGGGCCACAGGCAGAGCCCCACTGACCCCCACACATCTGCACCGGGAAGGGACAGGGCAGGGAAGGAGGAGACACGCCTGCCTTCTGAGCTCCCCATGCAGGGGACAGAGGAAGGGACTAGACCCTGCCTTCAGGGGATTCCCAGGTTCTTCATGATGATGATGATGATGAAGAAAATGATGTCAGCATTTGAAATGATGATGCTTCAATTATTGAGCATTAAGTGCGTTCTAGTTTAATCCTCACACCACCCTATTATGGTACTATTATCCCATTGGACAGATAAAGAAATTGAGGCACAGGAAGTTAAGCCACATGCTTGATGCTGTACCACGTGAAAGTGGAATCTCCAAGCACTGTGTGAGGGTCCCATCTGGTGGCTGGGGTGTAAGTGGGGAGAGTGGAGTGTCACTGTCCCTCCCAAGACCAGGGCTGGGATGCTGGGCAATTTCCCGGGATGCGGGTCAGACCCAGCTGCTGTCCTAGGAGCCTGACAGCCAAGAGAAGCTGGCCTCCTCCTTGTTAATGCCCACAGTGGATTTACCATAATTACCCATAATGAAGAGGCTGTGTGAGGCCCAGTTAATGACTTAATAACCAAGGCCGACTGTGGCCTTGCCTTGAAGGCAGAAGCCAAAGGCCGATCCTGGGCCTGTGGAATGCAGGGCCACCAAGTGAGACCTCCAAGGTGCCCTGACCTGGCCTCAGAGACCCAGAGTTCCATCGGGGCCTGCGGGTGGAACTGTTGGGCCTGATCTTGGGGAACCACCCACACTCACCTCCCACCCCACGGTCCATTCCTACTCCTGAGCCAGGACCTGTTCCCCTCCTGATGTGGTCTAATCACATCCCTCTCTCACATAGTCACTATCAACTGTGACTCCCTAGTGCTTCAGGAAGATACAGGCCCCTTTACCAGGTCACCAGTTGCAGGTTCAGCCTTGCCAATCCCACCATCCCACCTCACATCCCAGGAAACCACCCCTCCACCCCCTACTCCAGCCACCCCAAACTACTCATGGCCCCCCAATTACACACGCTTCCTCTTCTACCCTGGCACAACTTTGTTGGCTCTGCTAATTCCTGTCATTCCTTCAAGACTAGTTCTGGTGCCTCCTCTTCTGGGAAGTCTTCCTTGATTTCTACCCTCCCACCAACCTCAAAAAGTTAGTTGCCCCTGTCCATCCTTGTTTTAGCACTTGTCACGCTAGGATTGGTTAGTTCTACAGGGAAGAGACATAGAGACATGGACATGAGTGCCTTGGACCCACTGTAGCCAGGAGCTAAGAGCCACCAGTTACTAAGTTCCAAGTACCAAGTGAGGTTCTTCAGATGGTATTTCTACCTGTGCTAGTATCTACGATTATCATCCCCATTTTATATATGAGGAAACTGAGGCTCTGAGAAGTGAAATAACTTGTCATAGAACATTAGGTGTCAGAGGTGAGATCTGAAAGCAGGCATTTTGCTGGAGTCAAAGATTGTTCTCCTGCCACACTGCTTCTGTGTGGTTTGCCCTTGTCCCCAGGTCAGGGCCCAGCGCACAGCCCACCCCCAGTGACTGTGTGGAGTGGATGCACACCTCCCCCACTAGACCAAGAGCCCCTTCAGGGCTAGAGCCATGGCAACTCATTTCCAGAACCCAGAACAGTGGCTGTTTAGGTACTAGGTAAGGATGGGTGGAGGTGAGAAGTGGTAGGAGGGTAAAACTACCCCTGGGCCCCTGAACAGTGAGTGGGTCCCCATCCACAGCCAGATGGAGGGCATGGACCTACGGTAACTGTAGGCCACGTCCTGGGAAGGAGGCCATCTCAGAATGGTCATCGTGAAAATCACCTGTGTGCACAACCAATAAAAACACTTGTTCCTCCCAAGGCACATTCTAACCACCTGACCGGACAAAGTCCCCCTCCCATGACTTCAACGTTTGCCTCTGCCTGCAGGAAGCTTCCTTGACCTCCTCTACTGCACAGAGATCCTGGTAAGGGGAGGGATATTTCTCCACATTCAGATGGAATCCAGGGTCCCTGGGAACTCCCAGGCAGTCTAGACCCCAAGACACAGGAAGCTTTGGATGCACCCACCCAGCACCCCCTGGAGGCCAGGCTTACGTCCAAGGCCTGAGCTCTAGGCAAAATGCCAGAGAGAACCTTCCCAGGAGGCAGGGCCTCGTGCAGGCCCTGCCTGAGCCTTTCTGGGTTGTTTTCCCTCTTATAGGCCTGGAGGGAGCTATGGCCACAAGTGGATGAGATCCCACTGGCCACTGGCACGGGAAGCGTGTGTCACAGCAGCCCGGCCAGTCATCTCAGATTTTCCTCTGGGCTCCAGCCTGGCTCGGGCCCCCACACACCCTCCCTTCTTCACCACAGCCTTATTTTTAGCTTCTTTCCTGGAGGCTGAGGCTTGGTGGGTCACAAGATGGGCCTCACGCCCAGGAGGAGCCTCCTACAGCTTAGACCACGCCCACTCCACCAGCCCACCAGCCCTGGGCTAGCTCAGTGGGGTTCCCACCCCACCCATCCCATGGCCACATGTCCCAACCCAGGCATCTCCAGAGTCACCCCAAATCCACGGCCAGAACCGCCCTCTGCCCACAGGGTCCTCCTCCCTGGGCCAAGAGAACATTGTGGAACAGCAGGAGCTTCTGAATTTTCTCATTCACTGACCCTGGTTACACTCCTCCCGAGCCCCCCAGGGTTTGGCCTCTTGTCTAAGGCCAACTGTCCCTCCTGCCTACCAGGGTTCTTGCCCTGGGCCTGCCCCTGGCTTGAGCCTGTGCTCTCAGCCTCTCTCTCACTTCTCTCTCCTGCATATCAGCCTACAAAAGTGCTCACATCTCTCTTACCCTGGGGGTGAAAGCAATCTTGACTTGTCCCCTCTGCCAACTGCTTCTTCTCTCTCCCTCTTCACTCTTAGAAGAGCTCTCACCCCCACCAACTCGACGTCCTCACCTCCATCACTCCCTGAAACCAACCACCTCCTGGAAGCTCAATCCACAGACTCTCAATGTCCCAGGCACCTTGCCTCCAATTCCACTGCTCCACCACCTGGTCCCCATTCCCTCAGTGGCACCATGGCACTACCCAGGCCAGACACCTGGGAGTCAGCCATGACACCCCCTCGCCTCCCACAGGCCCATGAATGGGCCCAAAGATTCTCTCCTTCACCACCTGGCCCCTCTCTGGGCTCCCTGCTTCCAGTCTCTCCTGGTCCATCTAGCATCCCTCCTGCAGCCTGATCTCACAAGCACTTATCAGTCTACTAAGTCCTGGGCTGGGTTTCAGAGACCACAGGCAGTGTCTGGACTCAAGGAGGTAATGCCGTGATCCAATGGTTGTCACCTCTGGGTAGGGCTCAGAGTTACCCACGTGGTCTTCAAAATCCACTGGCCCAGGCTGCTGGTTCAGTAAGACTACCACTAACAACATTAATCTGGGTATTAACGTGAGTTAGTGTGCACTATGTGACAGACACTGTTCTAAGAGTGTAGCTGCCTAAGAATGTTTAGTGGCTCCCCACTGCCACCCAAGTGAAGCCAGACTTCTAGCATCTGAGGCCTCCATGATCCACATCTGCACAATCACCCTGTCTAGAGGTGAGATGCGGGGATCTATTAACACGTAGCCCGGGTGACTGGAAACCACTGGCCTGTCTGGTCTGAGGCCACTATGCCTTGCACATCACAGTTTGTAGGCCTCCAAGGCTTGACCACAGCCATGCCCTCTTCCTGGAGTGTCCATGTCCACTTTTTAAGATCCACCTCATCCAGAGCCCAGATCCAAGATCACATTTGCCAGGACGCCTCACCCCCCCACCCCCATCCAATCCCTCCTCTGCGGCTCTTGTTGAAGAGGTACCTGCAACTTTGAGGGCACCCCCAGAGCTGGATGGAATCTGGCCTGGCTCACCCAGCTGGCTGGTCACAGATACTCACGGTGATCCCCCATACCTGCTGGTCCCTCAGTAGCCCCCAGAGAAGCCAGGTCCAGACCCCAACCTGTGGATATCACAGAGTCCACAAAAAAAACAAGATGTACATGGAAACCCACAATGACCTCAGGAGCCCCCAGCTCAAACCAGCCTCAGATGCAAGGTAGGGACATTGTGATCCTGAGGTCTCTTCTTGCCTAGTCAGCCAGGACAGGCCACCTGGTACTCAAGCTCACTCCCCCGAGCAGCCATCATCACCCCACATTCACTCTGCCTCTCTCAGAGCAACAGGCAATTTAGCTGAATTCCCAAGAGCATGGGCTCTAAAGCCAGACCATCTGTGTTCAAATCCTGGCTTCTCTACCTTCCCTGCTGTGTGACACTAGGTAAGCTACTTAACCTCTCTGTGCTAGTTTCCTCTTCTGTAATATGGCTTAATTTTAAGATCTGCTTTCTAAGGTTGTTGTGAGGTTTAAATGGGTTGATCCATGTAAAGTACTTAGAATGGTGTCTGGCACATAGTAGGTAGTCAACAAATGTTATCACAGATCATTAGCTCACGGGGCAGGAGCCTTGGTCATGACAGAGAATAATGGGAACTCCCACCTCAGTGATCTTTTCTCCAAAATGGGGTCAGATGGCTAGAGAGACAGGGCCTAGGAATCTGAAGGGTTGGGTCATGTCTGCCATTGGTTGGTCCCTCCAGGAGGGACCTCTGTCCCCCCGTGGAGCCTTAGAGCTGACTTACTCTGCTTCAACACTGGGCC